ATTTGTTGTTAACATAAGTTATAATCATGAATGCCTGACAACATTTTAAATATGAACATTATTCGAATAAGATAACTAATGTAAATATGAATATTATTCGAATAAGATAACTAATGTACTCATGTTAACAATTTATAATCTAATTGAAACCTCATTTGTGTGTAGTTTTCAATTGAGTAATAAAAAGAGTTTATACTATAATTGTTTAAAATATCATTAGACTCTTTTTATTATTTTTATTATTGTTTAATCTTCACATTAATTTTACATCTCAAAGTACTATTTAACTCACCACCACCACCACTATTATTATTATTATAATTTATAATTTATAATTTATATAATTAACCTCTTTGTAGTTTAATCTCAGTCTTGCTTGGTTATTTATTACTTTGACACCCCTACACTTGGGAGAGGATATCAATATTTTGGTCATGTCAGAAAACTTTAGCTGCCAACTAAAAATCAACCCTAGAAACGGACAGGGTTGAATAGTGATATTAAGGTAATTATGGATAGACACTGCTTTATTCCTTTCTCTATAGGTAAAAAATACTTCAATAATGCTTAGTAGAATGTGTTCTTGATAGATACTTGTCATATTCTTTTGGGAAGGCTATGAGAGTTTGATAAGATTGTGGTTTATAATGGTAGAAAAGCTTATACCCTTAACATTAAAAAGAAATGTGTAATTCTAGCATCTATAGGAGAGAAGATGAAGATGAAGGTTGATAGTGTAAAGGTTTTACTGTCTTTATCACAGTTTATAAAGGAAATAAGAAATGAGTGAGTGGTGTTTTCTCTAATGCCTAGGAGTACTCATAGAGAAATAAAAGAATGATGGTCTCGAGAAAACACACAGTTTGTTAGTAAAGTTTTTATATTTAATGCCGAATGAGTTGCCCTAAATTTTACATCCTATAAAAGAGATATAACACCAGATTAAATTTATGTTAGGTTCCATCTTCCTACACAAAGCAAGTTACAGACTTAGCTTTAAAAAATTTCAAAAGTTGTAGAGATAGGTGTTGGAGTTGCTATAGAAATGATATATCCAAGAAAGAATGAGTCATTGTGCAATGTTAGCCCATTTTGGTCCCTAAAAAAATGGGTCATGATGTATATGTATAGACAGTTGGACTTTAAACTAGATCATAGTAAAATAGAAGTATCTTATACCGTGTATAGATGACATGTTAGATTAGTTAGTAAGGTCTAAAGTATTTTCCAAGATTGATATCAACAATGGGTATCTTCAAATTAGAATTAGACTAGAGGATAAATGAAAGATAGCCTTCAAAACTCACCATAAGTTATGTGATTGGATCATCATATTATTCGAATTATCCAATGCCTCCAGCATATTTATAAGATTCATGTAGGTATTGAGGTCATTTATGAATAGATTTGTCATCGTCTATTTTAGTGACATTTTAATTTATAGTCCAACTTTAGAGTTTTATTTAGAGCTCCTACAAGATGTTTTCAATACTTTAAGAAAAGAACAATTATACTTCAATTGAAAGAAGTATAAGTTCTTTACTGATTTTATTACTTTTCGGTCTTCATTATATCTATTAATGGTATTCAGGCTGATCAAAGTAAGATTTCTATAATTGTTGAGGGTTGACACCAAAAAGCATTCATGATGTTCAAAGTTTCCATTGATTTGTATTTTTTTTATAGAAGAATCATCATGAACTTTAGTTCCCTTATCGCATTAATTATAGAGT